TGTCATAATTATCGCTTGTCCAATTACGAAATTCTTTCTCAAATCTTAATAGAATGTTGAAAAATAATAATTATAATAATTATAATTAAACTAAAAATAAATAAATTTTAAAAAAATAATTATACCATCTATCATGGGACAATTATTTATTGCATTACTATAAAAATTCGCGGGTACTGGCTGATCCCATATGCGACAATGCATGAACATCCTTGGGTGGTAAATATATCCTCGCTATGCTTTGGATAATTATTCAGTAGCCTTATTACAGTAATTCAAGTAAAAAATTGAAAGTTTGGAATCGATTTTATTTTTCATATCAGATATGATTAAAACTTTTATTAAAAAAATAACACATGACAAAATCATTCATTATCATTATAGCAGATTAGCGAATAGATTTCGTGTAATGTTAGTATATATGTGAGGGACCAACATGAGGTTGGTTCCTCAATTAGTATTTGCCAATGATTAGTAATCATTGACCCCTCACAGTATATAAATAAAATTTCTATCATCTGTATGATAATCAAAATTTCTCACGCTTTATTACCACCATTTCCACTAGAAACCGTCTTTGAAATGCTCTCGAAGAGAATACCACTATAACTTCCTTGAATCTCGGTTTTAGTAAAAGCAAATATATAAGAAAGATTAATCACGATATTATTGATAATAGAGGTGGAATAGCATTCTCACATGTCCTTCAAATTAATAATACTTTGACTTCTTTGGACATTTCAGGAAATCATATTGGCCCCATAAGGGTAAGATCATTGTCAAACGCTTTGATAACAAACAATAATTTAACAGTTCCATTATCTACTACTACATCTGCAATATCAACCTCGACAACACCTTTGGCAACAACCTCAGCGACACCTTTGACAACAACTTCAACAACAACTGCGCCAACCTCAGCAACATCTACAACCTTAGCAACAACTTCTTCAATAGCAAGTTTGGAATCAGTATCAGCATCAGGTGGCTCCCAATCTTTTATTTCGACAACACTTGCTGAATTCTTTAATGATTAAACCTTTCTCTAAATCTTAGTGAAAACAGTCTTGATTCCGAAGAAACATTAAACCCATTGATTAATATCCTTAAAAATCACTCAACATTAACCGCATTGAATCTTTCATCAAATCAGCCACATTCTAAAGATAGAAATTTATTATTAAATTCACTTAGAGAAAATGAATCCCTAGTTTCATTATATCTTAAAGATACTCAACTTAGCCCTGAGGATGGAAGAACATTAGCAAGTGCACTTTACAATAATTTTACTTTAACTACTTTAGACATCTCGCATAATATGATTGATTTAGATGGAGGGAAAGCAGTTCATGATAAAAATAATACATTAAAATTTTTAAATATTTCTCGTAATAATCTTGGTCTTCAAGGAAAAAATGAGTTAAATAATATTCGTCGAACAAAATCGACTTTAACTCTTCGTTTCTAGATCTTAAAGATTATGACATATTATTCTTGGTTTTTTTTTCTTTGATTAAAAATTTGCTTTAATTGATTCTTTGTTCAAGAAAATTTATTTTGGTTTTAAATCTGACCTATTCAAAAAATAAAGGATGTACGTACGCATTTGGCATTAGCTTTTTCATAATCATAATTTAAATTACAGTAAATTGATTTCAATTGTCTTTCTTTAATTTACGAAACAAGTTTTTACTTCTGTTGGTGAGTATTGGTGTACTGTAAATAATATTTACTTTAGGCCAATTCTATTTTGACCCGGGTCAAAGCGACCCATCACATGACCACATACCTAAGAATTTTCATAACTTTGAGCGAAAATATCTCGATAACCATCTAATCAAATTTGATAAAAAATTTTTTATTTAAATCCTATTTATTAATAAAGAATTCGAGAAAAAAAAATTTTCATCGAATTTCTTCGCTCAAAGTTAAAGAAAAATCAAACCGTCTATCAAAATAGAAGCTGTGCCAAGTTTTTTCTTTAATTTTGAACGAAGGTATCTTGACACCCATCAAACCAAATTTGATAAAAGAATTTGAATGAAAAATATTTAGCCAAGTGGTTGTCGAGATATCTTTGCTTAAATTAGATTTTGATAAGCATTTTGATTTTTCTATAAATTTGTGATAAGATATCTCGAAAACCACCTGACTAAATTCGATGGAAATTTTTTTATTCAAATTCTATGTACCCATAAGATTCAAATACAAAAGTTTTAACGAATTGGTTTGATGGTTGTCAAAATATCTTTGTGCAATTTTTTAAAATAATTTGGTATTTTGATAGGCGGTTTGATTTTTTTTTACCAACTTTGAGCAAAGATATCTCGACAACCGCCTGACTTAATTCAATGAAAATTTTTAATTGAATTCTATAAATCCATAAAATTCAAATAAAAAATGGTTTACCGAATTTGGTTTGATGGTTGTCAAGTTATCTTCGATCAAAACTTTAAAAAGAATTTAGTGCAGCTTATATTATGATAGACGTTTTGATTTTTTTCTAACTTTGAGCGAAGATATCTTGGCGAACTCCTGACTATATTCGATGAACTTTTTTTTATTCAAATCCATGAATCCATATAATTTAAACAAAAAAAAGTTCTATCGAATTTGGTTTGATGGTTGTCTAGATATCTTCGATAAAAGTTAAAGAAAAATTTAACATTTATTTCAAAGAACGAAACAAAATTAAATTCAAAATCATATATAATTTATTGCATATATAAATAATAAAGCTAATCAATAAAAAGTGAACAAGATTTATTGGCGTAGTTATTTTTGTAGCATAAGAGATATTATCAGCCAAACGGCTCAGTTTATAAAAAACCAGTCTAATACTTTTTTTTTTTATTCTGACTTTATTATTTAGGTTATTAAATTTAAATTGATATACTTGATATAATCAGATTCGTTAAAGAATTTTCCATATGATATAGATAGTATTTTATATGAGTGACGCTAAGGGAGAATGGAGCTTTAATCGTATAAGTTGAAATAGCATTTTTCACTCATATAGGGTATTAAATATGATTACGGGTTAACTTTCCGAAATCAATTACGAATTATATATAATTTAATTGATTATAAATTTTCCCGATAAGTTTACCGAATATTAAAAACCGAATGCCATTTATTAATAATAATATCGATATTCTATTTCTTTAAAAATATATATTATATACTGTATAAAATATTGTTGAGGAAAAGGCTGTCAGAAAAAAATGCTTGTCGGAGAAACAGGAGTTCGGAAATGTCATATCGTAAAAGAATCATTCAGCAAGATTTTCTATCGGAGAAATATCATAAATATGTCATATCGGGAAAAATGGATATCGAGATTATGGGTCGGGAAAATAGTATTTCAGGTTTCAGGAAAGTGAGAATCAACGATTAAGATAGGGATCAACAGTTAATCAGATAAGTGTGATTTTTTAATCATACGATATTTGATTTACATAGTAATAGGCAAAATTTTGAATCAAAATTTTTCCGCATATCAGTAGGGGAATCATAATAGCTTATTTAATGAATCTTACTGTAATAGTTTACCTAGAAATTCTAGTGGTCTATCTAGTGAATCATAAAATGGTTATCTAGCAAATCATAATGGTTATCTAGCGAATCAGTAGTGTTTATTTGGCGAATCATAATAGGGAATCATAATAGCGAATCATAATACTGTAATTTATCTAACGGCTTATGTTAGTCAAATTAACGAATTCAACTAATTCAGAAATGAAGTATCTCATAAATTTAAACTTACGACAATGTTTAATTGACAAATATAAACAAATATAAACAATATATATATATATACAGTTAGGCATAAGACATGTAAATTATATCGATATATATTTATAAAAACAATAAATTAAACCACGAGAATATTTGATTAAACATCCGATTAGCAAATGACTTGAATCTAAATTTGGCGGAATTCGAAAACTGTAATTTTTATTCTGCCAAATAAACAATATATTATCTTGTAATTAAAAAAAAGTTGTTGTATTTATTACTATGCAAAATCACACATTTCTCAACTCCACGTTCACGTGGATTAAGCATGTATGTATGTCATGTTGAAAGTACTTTCTGATAAACTGATTTGGATAATGAAGGATGTATTCATTGGTGCACATCAATGCGCATTTACTTACATGCGTTAACAAAATCTGGAGGAATTAAATAATGCATGATTCGTTTCGAATTTTTGCATGTATAGAAGAGTAAAATTTTTATTTAATAAATTGAATGGATGACAGAGAATAAGTTTTATATGCGCAACTAAATTTATTTATTTATTTTTATTGAATGGATAACGTCAGCAAATGACATTATTTATGTATGCCATTATATATATATTAAATATATATGAATTACTATGAATTACAAGATTTAGTAAACCAAATATATATGTAATTAAAAATAATTGAAGGTAATTGAAAAGAATTGAAAATGATTGAAATAAATCAAAATGATTGAAATAAATCAAAAATGATTGAAAATTAAAGTTTTTCCAAAAATAAAGGTTATTTCTTATTTTTTTTCAATAAAGTTCTTTGTAGTATGTTTTCTAATTATACTTTCGTGCGCATTATTGGTATACAAGATTTTCCCGCCAAAAGAAAAAAAAAGAACATAACCAAGGTATTATTAATATATTATTAATATATGTACGTCTCCCGTAAAGCATCGGAAAACATTAGGATTTCTTTGTCTTTAAATCCTATGCTAACTGTTGCACCAATCTAGCATATTTATTTTGACTTTTTGCACGGATTAAATTTTTGAGATTCGATGACAAATTTCTCATTCCCGGTACAAATATTTATTGCTTTAACCAATGACATTTATTTTGATCAATAGTTTAAAATTATATATTAGGTTTAATATGTAATACAGTATATGTAATAGATTTACTTACCATTTTCTTATATACAAATTCGAATGCATAAAGATTCTCATAGATCTACGAAGTATATCTTGCCAGATATATTATTTGGGAAATAAATAATTGGTGCATTAAAAATACTTACGTTACAGTACGCATAATAAAATATTCAAATCTATAGTTATCTGAATAACGGTAATACACGAACCTGTGCATGCGTATGTATTACCCACATTCAATTAGGAAACCTGCATGCTATTGGTTTTGATGTTTCCTATCTAATCAAATATTTATATTAACGTAAGAATTGTAACTGTTTTTCTTTCACGTTTGAAATAGTGTTACCAAGAAAATATATTATTTTCCGTAAAAGGGTATTTTCAAATTCATGTATCAATGAGAGAGATCGTCGATATTTCGAAAGAATCTTCAAGATTTACTGATTAATAAAATTACTATCCCTTAAATAAACCGTAGAGGCTCATACTTAATAATAGAACTTAATAAAAATATTTAAAAATATTTATAAATTTTTCATTTAGCGGTTATAGTCAGTTATAGTTAGTGAATTAACATATCAGATATATATTTACAGGATTAACGTACGTACGTCGTACGTACAGTATCGACATGTAGAACACTGTACGATCGTCGTGCTGCACGGAGATACTCCGTTCGACACTTTGAACCTAATCAAACTAATCAAACTTGGTGAAAGCATCACGAAAAATATATTTTACACGTTGTATTTGGCATATTATCCACGGGATTCCTTTTTTCCTGCTTTCATTTCAATATTTGCTATCACGTTGATACACAAGAACTTTGAGAAAACTTACTTTTAATATAAATATTATCACTTTTTGGTAATTATAATCATTTCAATATTGATATGGTAAAAATCGATTAAACTATGATTTAAATACGGCATAATAAATCATCTCCCAATCCTTACTTATCATTGCCTTTAATAAACTTCAAAAATCAAAGCGATAGCTAATATTAATTATTAATTCCATTGTTGCAAGCTATTTTAATAATTGTTTTTTGTTTTGTTTTTTTTAAAGAAACGAATAAATATTGTGCAAGGCAATACACTTATATTATTCATTTATTCATTTGTGATTTGTACTGCATTTGATCGTTATATATTACAAATTATATTAATCGCTAACGCTATTTGCTATTACATTCGGTTTACACCTAGTGTGACTTTTGTTCAGATTACATTCGGCTTACATTTAGTGTGACTTTTTATCCAGAAAGGATAACAAAAAAAAAAAAAGGTATTAACTTTTTTTAATTTATTTGTTGCATTCGTTTAAAGCATGCATTTGAACATTTCTTTCTTAACACAACTTTTACTTTCTTTTCCGCCTCGCAGTTTACACAACATCGGCAGCTTCCTCCACCTTTAACACTCCATTCTTTTCCTTTTTTTCATCATTCTCATCAATTCCCAACTATTCACATTCATTCGTTCAAAGTTAACGACTTCGATTTTGCTACGACTTATTAAAAAAAAAAAAATTCAAAAAAAAAAAATTGTGTATCCCGCGAGAAACCAATGCGAAAAAAATTTCAAGATTACCATTCATTTTTTTTTGTAATAATTTTGCAATAATAATTTCTTTTCTGGTAAAATCAATTTTACCTTTAAAGTAAAAACATTTAATCTTTATACACTGTACAGTCCAAAATTCATTTAGCATTCTTTTTTACATTTGGGCTGGAACCCTTGACGAAAAGCATTCGCTATTTACGCAATATTTAATCATTAAAAAACCACCTCGTATTTATTCTCAGAAAAAAAATTCTTTCTATTTGCAATTGCTATTCAATTGGTATTAACATGTCTAATACATCAACAAATGAAGATACTACTATAAAAGTTGGTAAGTAAGAAACGATTTAAATATTTCTTCGTTCGTCTTTCACAATTCTTTATTAATTTTATTTTATTCTTAGCCCTTCGAATAAGGCCTTTAACTTCAGAAGATTTAATTAATATACCAATACGATTTCAGCGTAATATTCTATCCACTGCTGCGTATGCGCCAAACCAAGTATCGATACAACATGAGAAAAAACACAACTTTTCATTTGATTATGTTTTTAGACAAGAATGTAATCAAAAAGAAGTATATGAACGTTGCGTAACGAAAATGGTCGATAAATTTTTGGACGGTATGTAATAACTTTAGGTTTAATTTTAGATTTATTAAATAACACGTAAATACCAATTATGACACGGAATTTTTCGCTTAAAATAATAATAATAATAATAATTGAATTAAAAATTTTATTTTCTTTAACGCACGCGTGACGTTATTGGTGTTACATATTCTTATGAATTAAACTTTTTTTTTTCTCGCTTGTAGGTTTTAACGTAACGATTCTAGCGTATGGCCAAACTTCATCGGGTAAAACTCATACAATGGGAACGTCTAATGACATTACTTTTCCCACAGAATCAAGGGGTATAATTCCACGAGCAATGGATACCCTTTTCTCTGCTGTAAATTCGGCTCGTTATAAATCACAAAAATTTTCAATGAGAGTATCTTTTGTGGAATTATATAATGAAGACCTTATTGACTTACTTGCTGAATGTAACGATGAGGATAAGCCACAAGTCTTGATCAGAGAAAACTCCAATGGAAGTATATCATTGAGTGGATTACAAGAAATTAAAGTTAATAGTGTCGATGAAGTTATGGGGTAAAAATTATTCTTTATCGCTATGCATTTATTTATGTATTTATATTTATACCATATCATCGTTTAACATAATTAAAATTATTTATTATTATTATTATTATTATTATTCTTCTTTTTAAAGTCATTTATCGCGCGGTTCATTAAATCGACAAGTTGGCGCAACGGATATGAATTCAAAATCATCTCGATCTCATGCTATATTCACAGTTATTCTTTCGCAACAGAAATTTATACCTTCTAACGAATTGTGTGCAAGTCCGTTACCTCTTACACCATCAACAAGTTCGACACCTACTTCATTTCCTGAAACAAAATCTGGTTCACTTTCAAGATCAAATTCAAGATTGAGTAGGCGGTTTGAAGATGGTACTTGGGTTTCTGTAACAAGCAAGTTTCATTTTGTGGATTTAGCTGGTAGTGAAAGGGTATGTGTAATGTTAATGTTAACGTTAACGTTAATGTTAATGCTGTAATGTGTTAAAATATGATCGGAAAATGATTGTCGGGTGCGGTGAAGCTTAAATATTTTAAAATCTAACTAATCTTTTAAATTTTTTTAGCTTAAACGTACATCAACAAATGAAGAACGCATAAAAGAGGGTATTTCTATTAACTCTGGATTACTTGCCTTGGGAAATGTAATTTCTGCTTTGGGTGATCCAACAAAAGCAAAGAATACAACTCATATTCCATATCGTGACTCTAAACTTACACGTTTATTACAAGACTCTCTTGGTGGTAATGCGTTAACATTAATGATTGCCTGCGTTTCACCGGCTGAATATAATGCTGCTGAAACATTAAATACTCTTAAATATGCAAATCGAGCTCGAAATATCAAGAATTCGGCTATAATTATGCAAGAAGAAGCCGGATGGAATGACTTGGAACATTTACAGAATCTTGTTTTAAAATTGAGATCAGAAATTAAAAATTTAAAAACTTTATCTGTTTCTAATGAGAATATTAATATTCAATATAATGGAAGTGAAACTCCTGATAGTCAAATTCCTTCCTCATTACATATTGATACCGATGTTAAAACTGATAAAGTCTCTCAAAATTGTAATGATATTGAAGTTCTTGAGGAACAACTTGCTGAGCTTCAACGTTCTTATAATGAGTTATCCCAAAATTTTTCGAAAAAATCTTCTGAACTTGAAATGTATCAGAATTTTTCTGATATTAAAACCATTTCATCTTTAACAACAATTAAAGAGGAAGATGAGGTGATTTTTAATAAACCTCACTTATCAGAAGATTTTCAAAAGACTGTCAAACCTGTTATTATGGAATATGAAAAATCCATTTCTGTTCTAGAAAGTCAACTTGCTCTTGCTCGTGCTGCTTTAAATCACACTGAAGTTTCAATGTTAGAACAAGAAGCAAAACTTGCTGATGCTGAAAAATTTAGAGAAGAAAGTAAAAGTTTAATTGATGATCTTAAATATAAAGTTTCAAAACTTAATGAACGTGAAACTACAACTGAGAATTATATTCAAGATCTTGAAGCAAAACTTAAAATACATTCTAGTGAATATAAAAAAGATCAAGAAACAATTAGTGATCTTCGAAGACAACTTATGGAACTTAGAGAAAATGGTGATAATAATGAAGATTTAATTAGCCAACTTGAAACTCGTTTGGCGGCACGTGAAAGTAAATTAGAACTTATGAGTTCAAATCAAGAAAAACTTGAAAAAGCTTTAAGTCAACAAAAAGATGCTTATTCTAAATTAGAAGAAAAATATACTCAAGAAAAACTTAAAAATGAAGAAGACAAAAAAATGCTCATGACAGGAATTGAAGAACGAGATCGTAGAATTTCTAGTTTAGAAAAGAAAGTCGAAGAATTAGTTGATGAAATATCACAATTGAAACGATTAAGAATGGATATGAAAAATGTATCTAATAGAGATTATCGTTCAAATTCACTCGCTTCTGCTTCTTCAACTTCCTCAGATCAAGATACTCCTCTTTCTACGCCACCTGATTCAAATACTCCAAAGTCGTCTGTTAATTATTCTTCTATATTAGGTTTAGAATCAAAATTATATCAACTTCAAAAAACTCATGAAAAGACTATCTCGGAATATAGTGATATAAAAAATAAATATGCTTTATGCCTTGAAGAAATTCAAGAACTTCAAGAAAAACTTCAAGGAGTCAAAGTGAAAGTTAATATAATTCCTGGAACTCCATTAACTCCTACTGAAATTTCTTTGAATGAACTTATAGATATAGATTCTAAATCTTTATCACCATCTACTCATGGTACTCATCGTAAAGCCAAATCTCTATCTGCTGAAATTAAAGGTTTAGAAAAGCGTGATAATTCTAGCGCTTCTATGGTTCAAAAACTTCAAATTGAATTAAAACAACTTCAATCTCTTCATGAAGATAAAGATCAAGGGCTTGATGCTGTTAAAAAAGAATTCGCACGTTTAGAGATTTGTCATCGAGAAGCTCTTGAAATTGTTGAAGAGCTTCGTGAAGAAATAAAAAGGAGAGATGCTCTTGCTCAAATGGAAGTTATGTCCGTCATGGGTTCTGAGTATACACTTAATGAATATTCTACAGCAACTAGTGAAATTGATCAATACGAGATTGTTCAACGTCTTCGTGAAGAGGTAGAACAACTCAAGGAAGAACAACGAAGAACTTTGGAAAGTATTTCTGAACGTGAAGAAGATGGAAACAATGAATTTATGGAACTAGAATCTACTATAGAAGAACTTAAATCTGAAATGCAGAGATTACTTGAAGAACAGGCCTTAAAAGATTCTGAAGTCTCTGGTGCTGTACCTGATAATAATTATGATCAAGTTAGAGAAATGCAATTGACAATAAAATCACTTGAAGAACAATTATCAGAAGCTAAACGACAAATTTATATCGCGGATGCCGCTTCTCGTCTTGAAGGTAATAATAAAATAGAATCGGATGTAGAAAATTTAGAACTTAGACAGCAAGTTGAAAAGCTTCAAAATGAAATTGAATCAAAGAGTCATACAATAGCCGCTTTATTGTTCCCATCAATTGAACATCAAAATACAATTCGCAGACTTGAGGATGAACTTGAAAAAGTTCGAGAAGCTCATCAACAAGCAATCTTGGAAAAATCAAGTCAATTAACTTCAATATCGGAAGAATTTGAAGGTAAAGAAATTGATGGTATGGATTCTTTTGCTAGGGAACAAGCTTATGATAAACACGTACAAACTCTTGAAGAAAAAGTCAAAGAACTTGAATTACAATTAAACAAAGCAAGAGAAGCACAACATGTTCCAACACCTCGAGCTTCAATTCATTTTGATATTGATCCAACACGAATGAACATAAACGATCTTGAAGAAAAATTGGCTACTTTACAACATGAATTAGTTCTCAAGTCAAAGACTGTTGAAAGTTTAAATGGTGAACAAGAAATTGTAGCAGAACTTCAGGAAAAACTCCTCATACTTAAATCAGATATTCAAAACAAATATGAACTTATCGAAGTCTTGAAAAGAGATCTTGCCGACAAAAGTATGTTACAACAAAAACTAAGGGAAAAAGAAGCTGAAGCACTGATTTTCAAGACAAAACTCATGGAAGTTAATAAAAAAGAACAAGAAATGGAAGATGAAATTAAAAAGCTTAAAGAACAATTAAATAGATTGGAAAGTGGAGATGATGTCAATGAAGTTCTTCAAGAGGAATTGAATAGACTAAAAAAAGAAATCATAGAAGTTCGTGAAAAAGAATCTATTGCACTTGAACGATTTCGAGTATTAAAAGCAAAATTAGGATCAGATCCAGAAGAAAATCACCTTCAAGATGAATTGGAACGTTTACGTATCGTAGAAATAACACAAAGAGAAAGAATAGCTGTTTTGGAAAATACACTTTCAGAGCAAGGAGGTCATGTTGAATGTGATATTGCACAACTACAAAATGATTTGTTGTTAGCTAAGGAATCTGAAGCTACACAAAAAAATATAATTGAAAGTCTTGAAGCAAAATTGCGTAAAGCTGAAGATAAATCTCAAATAAGTGCAGTTCGACGTGAAATAAATGAGTCGAAAATTAAGGAAACTGAATATTTGAAAAGAATAAAGGAGTTAGAACTTCAATTTAATGAACATAATACTAAGGACCAAAACGAGATTAGTAAACTTAATGAAGAACTTGAAAAAATGCGATCTTTAGAACGAGAGCAACGTAAACAAATTGAAACCCTCGAAACACGATTGGAACTTGTCAGCGACGAAGATCCCAATATTTCTTCTCTGAGAGATCAAATTGCCAAGTTAAAAGCTTCAGAGTCAGATATGCGTAGGACAGTACAAGACTATGAATCAAAACTTATAACAGCACAAAAAGAGGTTAAAATTTTCGATACGGTTAAAGAAGAGGTTAAATTCTTAAAAGAATTAGAAGCTGAACAAAAGTCCACAATTGAACAATTGCAAGCACAACTTCAAAAACTTAGAACTTCTAAAGAAGCTGCTGTTGATGAACTTCAGACGATGAAAGGAGGCTTTGTTATTCAAAAGGATTTAGCCATCTCACTTGAAAATGAAGTAAACTCACTAAGAGAAAAATTGGCAGCGATAAAGAATAACGACGTGAGATCATCACAGGATCTTGAAGAAATGACTAATTTGATAAGTAAAACTCAAAAAGAACGTGATGATGCTCAGAAAGCAGTTAAGGCTTTGGAAATTGAACTTGAAACATTTAAATTAGCTGGGGTTGCAGGTAATGAAAATGTTGGCGCTTTAAGATCAGAATTGGCGAATGCTAAACTTGAGATGGCAGCTCAAAATGAGATTTTAGCAGATCTCGATTCTCAAATAGGGATTATGGATAAAGAACGTAGTCAAAATATCCAACGTATTCAAGAGTTAACAGAGGCTCTTAAAGAAAGAGAATCTAATCAAAAGGATGCCATTAAAAACCTTGAATGTACTTTAATGAATCTGAGCTCTGAACTTGTTGTGGCCAAAGATTCCTCTAATATAAGCAAAAAAACAATTGTAACTCTCGAAGAAAAAATTTCGATAGTGCGTTCACAATTACATGATGCTAAGGCTTCAGATGAAAGACGTTCAAATATTATTAATGAGTTAGAAAACAAATTAAAGAGTACTCTTAATATTTTAACGGATAAAGAAGAAAATATTACTAACTTTGATGTTCTGATCTCAGGATTGGAAACTATTATTCAAAAAACACAATTAGAACTTCAGACATCAAAAGCCTCCGAAGAAGATGTATCCAAACGTAGAAATGAATTAGAAGCAAAACTTGCAGAGGTAACTTCCAAATTACAAGATACAAATAATGATAAAAATGATTTACAACAAGATGTGAAAATGTTTAATGAGGAGCTTGCAAAAATAAAAGCTTCAGAAATAAAACATATAGAGCAAGTCAAGCTTTTGGAAACTAAACTCAAAGAAGTTGAAGCATATCGTGCTGAAGAGACATCTAAGCTTGAAAAGGCGAATAAAGAAATTGAATCACTTAATGATAAATGTGATCAATTACAACAAGAACTTGAAGATGCGCAATGGGATTCTGTCATCCAAAGTTACGAAAATGTTGATGATACTATGATTGAAGATCTCACCAATCAACTTAAACAGGTTCACAATGAAGCCAAGTTTCATCGAGATCAAGTTATAGCTTTGGAAAAGAAAGCTAAACAACTAGAGTCTGATAAAGCAGAAAATCTTGACCGAAACGCAATTCTCGAACAACAAGTTGAACAACTTCAAAAAGACTTTGAAATATTATCTGAAGAATTTTCACAGACTACATCCAAATTTGAAGAAACTAATGCGTTATCAAAACAACAAAAGCAACGAATCATTGAATTGGAAACTACTCTTGAAGAGACCAAGAAAGCCAGTTTCATAGCTGATAGAAATTCTACACGCATTTCCGCATCTACTAATCCTGCTCTCGCTGAACTTGCTTCTGCAAATGAAAATTTGCGACAGATTAATGATAGTCTTAATATTAAAATTTCCAAAGCAGAAGAACGTGTCTCAGAACTAAATGCCAAAATTAACATATTAGAAGATGAATTGGCTAAATTCAGATCAGGAAGTATTAATATCAATGAAGAATCTGTTGAGAGCCTAAAATTAAAGATTCAAGAACTTCAATCTGATAAAGATGTATTAGAACAAGCAAATGAAGCTGCATATGGAGAACGTAGTAAACTTGATCATAAGATCGAAATATTAATGCAACAATTACGTTCTGTTGGTGGAAATAAAGCTGCCCAACATATATCTCAATTAAATGAACAAATTGCTAAACTCGAAAAAGAGCATGCTCAATTAAAACAAGATTCTTTAGATGAAATTAGAGATATGGAAAAAGAGATTGAACACTTGATAGAACATAATAGTTGTCTAGAACAAGAGATCAAAGAGATGGGTGGTAACATTCCAAATATTGACAAAGTTAGTTCTCCTGCACCGACTATGCAGCGTCCTAGTAGAGATGGTCCCATGCATGCTAAGATCAGTCGTCAAGATGACACTATCACACAGCAAAACTTACTCATCAAGACCCTTCAAGAAAAGATTACAGAACTTGAAAGTCGATCTTATGATGAGCCAAATTCAAATGTTGGGCCAGAGTTGGATGCTGTTGGTGGTGTACGTCTATCAACAACATCTTCTTCATCTAATTCATCGGACGCAAATAACAAGAAAGGGCAACGACATCCAAGCCTTACTAAACCACCACCAGTACCCCCACCAAATCAGCCTTTACCGCCAATTCCGCAAAACTCTATGTCTCGCGCACGAAGCAGCAGATCAGATTCAGTAGCGTCATCGGACCTTTCATCAGAAATTCAGAGGCTACACAAAAAGATTTCAGAAATTGAGGGTGAAAACTTACAAAGTCGGCATCTCGTGCAAACACTTCAGACTTCAGTAAGTGATCATGAAACAAACTTGCGTGTAGCGAAGCAGCAACTTTCAATATTACAACGCGAAAAAATGGAATACCTTGATCAAATAAAGAATCTACGCGAAAATTTGGTCGAGGCAACTGATCAAATAGAAAAAGCAAAATCTACAGTACAAGAAGAAAAGAAAGTCATGGAGAACGTATTGGAAGAAGAACGAAGAGCAAAGGAACGAGCAGAAAAGGCGCGTGTACAACTTGAAAGTCAAATGGAACAACTCATGTCAAGAAAAAGCAAATTTATGTGTTTCTAAAAACAAATTATTATTAATTGCTATTTATTTAAGATATATAAAAAAACTATTTCGATTAAATTCAAGAAAAAAAAATCATTTTATTTCATTTATATATTATATATTATAAATATTTGTAAATTTAATTTTTATTTATTTATTTATTTTTGTATCTTAGAATTTATTTTGCAATGTCTTATTTATACAATATTTATCTATCTTTGAAGAGTATATGATTAAAAAAATATTGAAAATATACAGTACATCAGATATATATATAAATCTGAATGATTTTCTATTATTAATAGTAAATATATTTTTTATACACTTAGCCACTCTTTTGTTATTAATAAAACTTGTATATCAATAAATTTTGTTAATTTTTTTATTTTATAGTACTGTAAGTAATACGTACAAAATTTTATAAAATAATATATAAGGCAACCGGCCTTCTCATAAATTTAATAAGTGACTATAGAGATATTACTCTAAGTTTTAAAAAATATTGATCTTTAAGATGTCTGAATTTTTTCAAAACTTTGTTAATACCTCAATAATAACATAACTAATATGATAAAGAATTTTTATTTAAATTCTATGGATATATAGAATTAAAATAAAGAAATTTTTATTGAATTTAGGTATGTGGTCAAAATATTATCTCAAAATTTTAAATCGATTTTTAAAATCATGAATTAAATAGTAATATCTCGATAACCAGCCAATCAAACACTAGTCAACCGATTAAGATTCGATCAGGTCGAGTCTTAATTCGGCCTATGAAACTAAAAAATCAACATCTTAATTCGAACTATGAATTTATACTCGAAATTAAAATCGATTATAATTCAGCCCAGGGCACAAAATTTCCGGGTGATGTAACCTGCTTTTTTTTTCGGTAAACGAAACTCCTGCAATATATTTACAGCTGTTTTCATTATTCCTGGGACACCTATAAAAAATTAGCCGAATTATTTTTCGGCCGATTTATTTTTTCGGCATGATCGGTATATAAAAAATATATTTTTAATTCGACCAATTTTTATTTACTGTAATATTGATATAATATCTATGTCATAATATTGATATAATATCTATGTTATAAATTAAATTACATCGTTGGTCCAATTTCAAAAATTACCATAATAAATTTAGAGAGTTACTATTTTCACTTCCCACTTTTGCTAATTCTACCCTCCAAATTTTAAAAAAGTGCTCTGGAAGAGGTATTTTTATTAAGTAAACTCTTGTTTTGATCATAATAAGAGTTGTTCATCAGGCCTTTCCGGTTCTAATAGTAGTAAAATCATCAAATTCGGACTAGTAGTTTTTTTAAAAAGGTAAATATAAGATAATTAACTTCGGACATGTATATTTTAGGAACTACTGGTCTGATTTTAATGATTTTACTACCATTAGAACCGAAAGGCCTAATAAACAACTTTATAGCTGTTTTCATTATTTCTAGAACACCTATAAAAAATTAGCCAAAAAAAAATTTTGGTCGGTAATTTTTTTGGCATAATAAATTCAATAAAAATTGATATAATACTGAAATATATACATAATTTAAAATTAGGTGTCTAATATAAATAAAAAATTACACACATCTCTTGTTGAATTCAAAAAATATGATATTTTCAAACCACATTCGCTGGCAAATTATTTAAAAAATTTAGAAGGCCTTTCAACTCAAAAAATTGCAAAACACTTAGGTGTTAACAGATCTTCTATAAGTCAAGTTTTTGTGCATTTTCAAAGATATGGTTGTATTGAAAAATTTCCATCACTTTTAAGAAAACCACGTTCTTTAAACATGAATGATATAAATTATCTTCAAGTTTTAATGAAAGAAAAACTTTGGTTGGAATGTAACATTAGTCTTCAACAATTTGGACCAACTTGGATATACGCACAAAAAGGTAATATTTCATATATTAATACATATAATAATTTTATTTTATAAACTTTTAGCAATTTTATAAAAGGCTCTTTCGTATTAATAGCTTCTGATTAAAGCTCTTTTATATTAATAATATCCAATTCACTATTAATTTCTGAATCGGTTGTGTTCACTTCAGACAAGTCAGGTAACTCAAAAGTATTTGTCATGGACGATGAAGATTCTTTAATTGTTAGATCTACAATTTTGCTTTGATTGTGCATTTTCGACAAATATTAATTAAGTCTTGATCTTTTGGAATTTCACTTGAATTTTTAGTCCAATTGACAAATTCTTGATCGTATTTAACTTATTTAATATTAGCACCTATTCGTGTGATATAGGCTAATTTGATATCCAGAGCCATTTTATATTTCTGAAGTTTTATTGGTTAACAAGAACAATCTTTTCCATAAACTTTCGCACAAGTTAAACACGCTAATCATATTGGAAAGTGTTCAAACGAAATTTTAATAATGTTGACATTATAATAATAAAATTATTTGTACGTAGAAGAGGTATTATATTTATTATGGTAATTTTTGAAATTGAACCAAAAATGTAATTTAGAAATATATATTATATCAATATTACAATACATAAAAATTGAACAAATTTAAAAATATATTTAATTTATGATGTAGATATTATATCAATATTAAAGTAAATTAAAATTGAATGAATTCAAAAATATATTTAATTGATGATGTAGATATTATATCAATATTACAATAAATGAGTTTAAAAATATATTTTTTATATACCAATCATGCCAAAAAAATTACTGGCCGAAAATTTTTTTCAGCTAATTTTTTATAGGTGTCCCAGAGATTAGCAAAAGTGGGGGGTGAAAATAGCAATTCTCTAAATTTAATACTTGTTTTACAAATTTTATTTGAATGCTTGCCCAATATGCTTGGTGTGTTTAATTTGTGCGAAAGTTTATGGGAAAAACTGTTTTTGTCAACCAATAAAACTTGACAAGAAATATAAAAAGGCTCCGGATATCAAATTAGCTTTTATAATAATTATATTACACGAATAGGTGCTAATATTAAAAAAGTTAAATATAATCAAGAATTTGTCGATTGGACTAAAAATTTAACTATCAAGCCTTAATTAATATTTGACAAAAATTATGATCAACAAAATCAAAGCTCACAGTAGATCTAACAATTAAAGATTCTCTAAAATCTTTATCATCCATGACAAATACTTTTATCTGACTTGTCTGAAGTGACTGCAACTGATTCAGAAATTAATAGTGAAAAAGATTCTAAATTGGATATTCTTAATATGAAAGAACCTGAATCAGAAGCTATTAATACAAAAGAGCTTTTTATAAAATTATTAAAGTTTATAAAATAAGAATATGTATAAATATATGAAATATTACTTTTTGTGCATATATCCAAGTTGGTGTATAGTTCTCCAAATTGTTGTAAGACTAATTTTACGTCACAACCAAAGCTCCATGTCAGATTGTAATTCAAACAAGTACCAGTCAGGCTTTTCTTTCATTAAAACTTATATAATTCATGTTTAAAGAACGTGGTTTTATGAAAGTTTTCAATGCAACCATATCTTTGAAAATGTACAAGAACCCGACTTATAGAAGATCTGCTAACACCTAAGTGTTTTGCAATTTTTCGAGTTGATAGGCCTTCTAAAATTTTTTCAATAATTTGCCAGCGAATGTGGTTTGAAAACATCATATTTTTTGAATTCAACAAGAAATATGCATAATTTTTTATTTATATTAGCCACCTGATTTTAAATTACATATATATTACAGTATTATATCAATTTTTATTGAATTTATTATGCCGAAAAAAATTACCGGCCGAAAAATTTTTTGGCTAATTTTTTTATAGGTCCCAGGAATAATGAAAACAGCTGTAAGATGGGCAATTTAGGCACCCATGTATAAGTTGAGGGTTGATATGCAATATATTACTATTTATTTCCCGCAACGGCGGGAATAAGAGGTACATCCTCGGTCATCTGGGGCCCGAAGGGCCCACAGCAGGGTGGAGATCTACCAGGTTGTCTCCCCGTAGCGTCGAAATAAGTGTATTATTCTTCATTTTTATAGGATGTCATGACTAGAAATTAGGCCCGTATAAAATTTCCTCTCCGGATAACCGACCCGTATTACAAACTCAAAACCGGGTAACAACCCGGTTTATCTCAAATGATCCGAGTAATCGGTTAACCCATAATGATAAATTGCAGGGATGCCGATTATTTATTTTTTTTTTGGATGATGTAAAAATTTGAATTTAACAGTATAAACCGTATAAGAATTAAATTACATAATTCGGGCCACGTTACTTGATTTTGAATTATTGGCCGTTCTCAAAATCTTGAATCGTATGAACCCAGCCAATCAGATCAATAGAAATTAACTGACAACATGACCTGTGACCAATCAAATGCTATAACCGTGCTGGGGTTTTATTATCAGGATTAACCGGTTAGCAAAATTGCTATCCGGTTAAGAGTGCTTATACGGGTCACCCGGGTAATCCTTATCCGGTTCTAATCTCTAGTCATAACGGCTCATAATCCTACTTTAATTAATAAAAATTCGTTTTTTTTACTGATCGAAGTAGTGACTATAAATCATAAAATCCCATCAAGTGATCATATAGAAACGTAAAATAATAAATGATATACAGTAAAACCTGTAAAACCTCTATAAGTGCATTCTTTAAACCAAACTTTAACAATGTGCACTTAGAGAACAAGAAAAGGTGCATTTGTGTAGAACTCCAATTCATTAAGCATTTATTCGGATAATTATCACCGTCTATATCCGTTTAGTATTGATATCCAAATAATTATCCGAATATCTACCGGATTATCTGAGCGATTTGAATTATCCGGATAAACAAATACGATAAATGGTTGACAGATTTATCCGGATTGGAACTCTACACTTATGGAGGTCATGTATATATGTATAATTAAAAATGTAATCCGTAAATTAGTATGCTAATTCCGCAGCTTTTGTTAAAATATTAAATGTATCTTGCATATAATTTCAAAGTCCAATTTAAACACAGGACGTAACTCGATCATCTTTAAGTTTTTTAACATTGTGAAATGAATAATTTTAGTAAGAACTTTAGGCCGCGATTGTAGGACAAGATAAGAACTTATGACTAAAACTTGTTACTTTCTATTCTCTAGGACTATTGCGCTAATCATGCGTAGGTATAAAATGTCGGGCCAGGCTCAAATTTTAGGTTTGTTATAAATCGAGCCAGGTTTACTAAAATATCAGTTCCAGGTTCGGGCTTTATTAATAAGGTAGCTGTGCAACTTAGTTGTGCTAAAGCCAGGAACGGATGCATCAGTAGGTCATCTCTATATTCATTATTTATAATTAATAATTTTACTTACTGACCTGACCTTATAACAATGCAACATATCAACACAAGATAATTATATTATTATATCTGGTATTGATCGTATATCAGATATGTGATTAATTCGTAATGTCATAATTCTTCAAGTGATAAACTTTTATTTAGTGGGTTTCCCTCTTGCGCACTCATTTCATCAAATTTATTATGACGCTATTACTAGTGCTAAGCCTAATAAACAAAACGTGGCATGGAAATGTAACAACCAATCGGGTCTCTAAAAATAGTCAGATGTCAAATCGCACGTATTCCAGTTAGCTAATCAGATCACTTTAGAGTGGACGAATGTAGAGCTTTATATTTAATAAAATTCTCTTTCTTGATCCTTCATTATGGTTTCTCAATCTACTTAACGAACTTCCAAAATTTCATCTTGATCGTTAAAAATGGGTGACGAATCACAAATTTTATATGTAATGTATGACATTGGGCTTAATATATGATATTTCCCTAGGAACATTTGAAATTAGTTTTTGTTCGTTACATGTCAACTCAGTTTTATTTTTTATTTTTTTTTGACACATTGATTCGACATTACTCGATGATTTGCATTAATCACCCGGGATGTATACGATATCTTTGCATGAATTAATTTTTTGTGAGCTTGTTGTTTTTATGGAGTTTACTTTTTTATAGCAAAATGACGATTTAATAACAAAAAAAGAAATTCATTAAATAACGATCGTGGGATTTCAAAAATAACTCATGAATCTCGCATCCTAATGTAGCACATATATAATTATTTAATATTATTAGTGTCACAGGTGGCACTTACGCGCCACCCTCTTATGATGATATATAGTGTAAATAATTTCACTATAAAAAATCATGTTTTCTATTATGCGTTAATATAATAATTGTTAACGTTAACTATTCTGGTTATACACATTATGTTGTTGAGGCTATACTTGCCGCCCAAATCTCAAATTACTATAGGTTGGATTTGTCCACGCCCAAATTCCAAATGCATTTCAAATTAATATCTCAAAAACTTTATTAATAAATTTTGCTTGAACAAATAGTATATATTCTTATAGATAATATATTCGCAAAATATTAAGTTTGCTTTGTTTGATTTAATTTTTTATAAATAGCAATTGTTTTTTTTTTTTTTTTTTTTTTTGGAATTTGGGATTTGTTTGGGGTTTGCCAGCAAGTATAGTTAAGGCTGTGTTAGATCCATTAGAATTAGTATAAATTCTATTACACGCCACTGTAAAAAATACAGTTATAGAACTTGTTATTCTGTTAACACACAATATTAGTTAAAGTTAAGTTTGCATCAGAATAATCATGACTTCTATTGTAACTGTAAAAAATTCTGTTACAGAACTTACTTACCATTCCAGTGACACACAGTACGTGTATGTGGTTGGTTTGCATTGGAATTATTATAATTTCTACTGTAAAAATTCTATTATATAATTTACTTATTCTGGTGACAAATGGTATGTGGTTAAGGTTGAGTTAATTTTCACCATGAGCTACTATAAAAAGTTCTGCTAAAGAATTACTCGTTATTCTGGCGACACATGGTGTGGTTAAGGCTGAGTTAATTTACATTAGAAATAATGCAATTTTTATAATAAGGAATTGTAAAAAAATTGCTTGATATTCCGGTAACCACAATACGTAGTTAAGGCTAAGTTAGTATGCATTAGAATTATCATGAGTTACTATAAAAAATTCTGTTACAGAATTTGCTATTCCAATGACACAATATGTAATTAAAATTAAAATTATTATAATTCTATTGTAAGCAACTGCTATACAGAACTTGCTATTCTGGTGATGCAATATGCAGTTAAAGTTGAGTTAGTTTCATTCAAATTATCGTAAAATTCTTACTCACTATTCTAGTAGCACATAGTGTGTTGTTAAAGTTGAGTTAGTTTACATTGTAAGTTACAATTAAAAAATTCTTTACAGAACTTACTCGCTATTCCAGTGACAAAAAGTATTAAGGTTAAATTAATTTGTATTGTAAATTTAATGTAAAAAATACAATACATTACTTACTATTATGGTGACACAATAAGCAGTTGAAGTTGAGTTAGTTTTATTCAAATTATCGTGATTTCTATCAAGAGTTATTGTAAAAAATTCAGTTACAGAACTTACACGCTATTTAATGGCATATAGTATGTAATTAAAGTTGAGTTGCTTTGCATTTTAAGTTACTGTAAAAAATTCTGTTACAGAATTTACTCGCTATTCTGGTCTAATTTCAAAGATTAGTTAAATCACCAATACTTTCTTAATATTTGTTTAATATTTAATTAGTGATCCACCAGCAACCAGAGAGTGAAACGTGATGCGGATCACTTATAGAAATTAGGTTTTTTTTCGTACTAAGTTAATCGCCCTTTTGATTTAAAAGATTTTGTAGAGCTTGTTAAGACGCATCTAATGGTGGTTAAAACATCTAAATCGGCCTTGTGGATGCCAAGAAAAAATCTTTAAAAAAACGTTTCACTAACTATGTTAACTTCTTTGTAAAACAATAGTATTGTTTCAAAGAGTTTATATAGTTAGTGAAACGTTTTTAAAGATATCTCGGCACCCACCAGACCGATTTAGATGATTTAACCACCATTAGATGCATCTTAACAAGCTCTACAAATGTCTCTTAAGTTAGAAGGGCGATTAACTTAGTATGAAAAAAAGCTTTAGATGCGTGCACGCCACATTCGCAAACCATAATTTCTATAAGCGATCCGTATCACGTTTCACTATGATCACTCTCTGGTTGACTGGAGGATCACCAATTAATGTTATTTTATGGCTTTTCCTGCACAAACATATCATTTAATTTGATTTATCTAAGTGTATCATCATATTGATACGCCAAAATAGGTTAAATAGTAAGATGATTTATTCTTTCAATATACGATAAAGCAGATAAAGCAGAGGCTTCAACTTAGAACTAATACGTATGAGCGTATGGTTGAATGTTGGTTTCTTAAATAGACTAAGTAATATCAAAAAAATAGGCAAGGGTGGCAACCCTGGATGGCACACAAAAAATAACGATGTAAAGTAGGTATGATTACGTAAGATCAAGCGATGGTCATAAATTTAATTATTTTTATGGAATATACTGGCTTTATCATGATGACTAAGTCCATACATTAAGAGTATTCAATGTATAAAATACCCAATAGCTGGTTTTTAAATAGTTATTTTAGAAATTACAGAAGATCAGGAAAGTTGAATAATCAAATTATATGGTAAGAGTGTAAAATACCTATTTTATACTAATCTGATCATCTATACTATGCTGATCTTTGTTTATCAATACTGCAATCAGGGCCACGTGAAATTTTGGATATTATTTATAGAAATTTGTAAATCATATAAATAATATCCAAATTTTTATGTGGCCCTGACTGCAATACAAAAAACAAAAATTATATGATCCGCCGTCATGACATAATGAAGAAATAACACCACCATTGTTTTCCACTATGGAAATAAGCCGGTAGATCTCTGGTTACATGAGGGCCCTTCGGACCCTCATGTAACCAGGAATTTACCCTTTATTCCGAAAATAAATACTTTTAATTTGATTTCTTATTTCATAATAGTGAAAATAAGCCATTTCTTTATATTAAATTAATTTGAAAGTATAGTCTAAAAAAATTTTTGCTACTCCTTATGTCGGTAAGATTATAAATTATCTGTCATTTCTCATTGTCAATTATTTCTTAGATTACTTCATATCGGCTGATCTGTACGGTCTGATGAATGTATAAGTCGATCAAAATATCAACCATTCGGTCAACTCCAGATCTAGTCAAATAATAATAATAATCAACAATTTTGACCGGAATCATAACTCAATGGTTTTTATATTTACGTATTAGACCGTGCAGATCGCCAATATGTTAACCGGAAAGAATTCGTATGTACTGTACTTGTAGTTTATTAGTCTATTGTCCATGCTGATTTGGTCGATAAACAATTTTTTATTCAAGACGATTCAGTCAATATTATTTATTAATCGAAATATTTGAAATAATATATTTATTTCTTATTTATTTCTTATTCGAGCTAATTTATGATTCTGATAACTTGATTTTCCGAAAACTTATATACAAAATATTGATTATAAATTTTAGTCAAGGGCATATTTTCGGGTATTACGTATTCGCCATATATATAATTTCTGATGTAATACTGCACATAATTGAGTATAAAAGCTTTTTTGTTGCATCATCAAGTAAACTGGCGTAAGAAATTAATCCAATTGTAGCGCTAATTATAGACAAACCTGTACATTTTAACTAACTTCGGTGAATAACGATAATCATTTGCCTTATAAACGAACTCTATCTACTCGTTCAAGTAGCTAATCAATTTCCATATTTTGAATTACTATTATTACAGTATTATTAAATATTAATTTTAGCATTCGAATTTTAGTTTAATTTTGGCGTATGAAATTATGAACTATTTGATAAAAACGAAATCGATTCTCAAAACGTTTTTCAGATCTCTTTTAAAGTTTCATTATATCAGATTAAAATTATGTTATTTTTTCCTACTTGCTGCATATTGTTCATGTAATTTCCTTAGTTTATTCTTATCAACCGTTTTTCTATTACCAAAATCACTCATCGGTATACTATTGGCCGTGTCACCATTTGTGGAACTCGTTAGTTCACCTTGTTGGAGTGTAAGAATCAATTTATTTTGATTATTTTGATTATTTTGACGAGTTATTAATGTAGTTGACAAAGAAAATATAATTAATTAATTTGAAAATATTTTGCTAAAAGATCCTTGCAGATAGACGTAATACGCATCGCAAGATTATAATTTCATGTACCACATGTATTATATTTGTATATAGTTTTTTACCATTTACTGGAAAACTTCTTGGCTTTGGTGGCCTTTTTATCAACCTTGTTATTTATTCGTTGTTTAATGGGGGAGTTTCGCCATTGATTGATAATCTAACCATAAGTATGTATTTTTTTCATTTTACATATTATAAAAGTCATGCTAATAGATCTATTGATAAATTACAGATGTATTAAATCATAAAGGAGAATTAGCAAAATTTGGTCGCCAGGTAATCAATCTTATTCATATTTAAATATATTAATTATTTATATTCATGATATTATTATATTATTTAGCGTCTTTTCGGGACCATAAGTTGTGGGGTTTCCGTAGTTGTGCTTGGATTTATAATAGATAGATTGAATTCACTTTATACAATGTTTTTTTCATTTGGATTTTTCATGGGGCTGTTTTTATTAGTTCTATGCTTAACACCTGTTGGTGATTTTAAAGCAGATCATCATGAAGAACAAGTTACAGACGACATAGAATTCGGACGTACTTCAAATGAAATTCCTACACAGATTGTAGATACCAATGTTATAGTAACTGCACCACCACCATTAATTAAAGCAGATCATCATGAAAAACAAGTTACAGACGACATAGACCTCGTTCAATTCGGACGTACTTCAAATGAAATTCCTACACAGATTGTAGATACCAATGTTATAGTAATTGCACCACCACCATTAATTAAAGCAGATCATCATGAAGAACAAGTTACAAACGACATAGACCTCGTTCAATTCGGACGTACTTCAAATGAAACTCCTACACAAATTGTAGATACCAATGTTATAGTAACTGCACCACCACCATTCATGAAAGCAATTTTTAGACTCATCATAGAACCACGTTTGCTATTATTTCTTTTCGTGTTTCTTTTGATGCGCACAATGAAAACGTCAACGACTGCATTTCTTTATGTGTTCTTATCAGGTTTCATTGATTTTATTTTATTGATTTTATTTTTTAAAAAAAATCTCTTCTCAAATACACAATTCGTAACCTAAATTGCTTACAAATTTAGAGGATCTTAAAGCTGATGCAAAATTGTTGGGATTAAGCACCTTTGTAGGTGTGACTGTTGAAATGTTAGCTTTTTATTTTGGAAAATATATCATGGAATATACATTTCCAGAAGTTATTGTTGTAGCAGGAGAAATTATATCTACTCTTAGAGTTGTATTATATGCGTTTTTTGGTAAAAGTATGAACCCTTGGTTATCTCTTCCAATTGAGACGGTAATAATAATATAATAAAATAACAATAATAACTTATGATCATTCATTAATGCTTATAATTATTATTTAATAGCTCCAAGGACTTGAATTTGCATTGGTAAAGCCAGCATCTTTAGAAATTATGTCACAACTATCACCACCAACACTGAGGGCTACAGCAATTGGTATACTTGCAGCCACAGAAAGTTTGTCTACAGGTCAGTATTTAAAGGCAACGCATGATTTTTTTTTAAAAAAACCAAAATTCTTTTTAAATATTATGACTATTTCATATACATATAAAAGGTCTTGGACAGATCGTCGGGGGATTATTATATGATCATTTTGGAGCCGTTAAGATGTTTCTATATACATCATGGATTGGAATATCGGCAATTATAATTTATATTGCTGGACTTCTAATGCTGAAAAGGAGATTCTGTCTCTGTTAAAGATAATTTCATAATATTTTATAATTGCATGAAAATTAAAAAAATAGAAAATACTGTAGTAATCACAAAATTTAGAACTTTTCGTAAGCACACTTTACATGTATTTCCTATAATAATGCTGTACCGTATAAGTGTGAAATAACGTTCATGGGCGTTATTTTGCTTGTCAGGTCCTTCAAAAATAAATTATATATAGTCTCGAATTAGCAGCGTTCCGAATTAACGCGCATCCTAATGTATAATTTATAAATGATATACATTCGATATTTAATACGTATTACACATTCTATAAGCACACTTCACATGTATTTCCTATCCCTTAAACCGTCAGGTTTAGCGTCCAAATTTGGACGCTAAAATTTAAATTAGTTAGGGGCGTGCCATTTATTACGTAATAAAATCTTACTAATAGCCTACCATGGTGTGATCTCAATGCTGATTGGCTAGATTATATATATAATATACAGTATGTATAATATATATAGGGATTGATACATACCGTTATTTTTGTTATTCGTACCCTAAACTTAATCATCGCATCGTATGATGTCGGGGCTCCAAAATTCAAACTCCTCTTTTTTGATTATTAATAATGCTTACTAATCGAAAGCAGTGTTTGTATTTTGGAGCTCCGACATCATACGATGTGATGATTATGTTTAGGGTATGAATAGTAATTTCCTATATATATAATATATAGTATATAACATATATATAATTTTTAAAGTTGAATAACTTTTGATCTGCTGGTCCGTTTTGGATGATTTAACTACCAAAATATTCGTCTCAGTGAGATGACTCTAACAGCCTAAAATCATCAAAATCCAATTACAGGATCCTGAGATCGTTATAGTTTTTATAATTTTAAAATTATAAAAAACTTTAGCGATCTCAGGATTCTGTAATTGGATTTTGATGATTTTAGGCTTGTTAGATTCATCTCACTGAGATAAACATTTTGGTAGTTAAATCATCCAAAACAGACCAGTAGATCAAAAGTTATTCAACTTTAAAATTATATATATTATTATATATATATTATATATATTATGTATATATTCTTCACTACTGTCATAGAACTCTTCTTAACGATCTCTGTGCCCAAATCCAGAGCTAAAGAAACTTTGCAAAAAAGTCACTATGGTACTAAATCAACAACTAAAGTAGCCTTAAAGAAAAAGATAGAGCAAAAAAATTCAACTATAGTTACTTAGAACAGTTTTGCTCTTTAACAACCAGGGTTTATAATATTTAGAAAAATTGAAATTTTTAAAAAAATTTTTTAGAATTTTGGGAATTTTTTGTTTACACTGTTCTGCAGATCGATCATTACCGGAAAAAACATATGCATACAAATTAGGCAAATGACAAACAAAACTAATACTACTAGAAAATCAAGCAATAAAACAAATATTCTTGTTAATGTTGTGCCCCAAATGAAAATCGGCCCAGTTGTCAATTGGGCTAGCCCAGATAACAATTTGAATTTGGGCTATCAATTTTGTCCCAGATGCAAATTGCAAATTTACAAAATTCCAAACATTCAATTGAAGATATCTCGTCACCCACTATATCAAATTCGATAAAAATTTTTTTATTTGAATT